ATATTTCCACAATATAACGTCCCCAATCCTCCATAAATGCATCAACTATGCTACCTATGGCACTAGTAATCCTGTTGCCACTCATTTGTCTGTTTGCAGATTTAGTCTTGAAAACTGAAGAATGTAGGAGGAGTCAGACATAACTGAATAACTGACGTCATCTCTTCACTTGATACTCTGGTTTCTTTGTGTGAGTTCAGTGCCGATATTTAGTTCGCTCTTGACTGTTTCAGAAGCAGTATTACTTGAAATATTATCGTATAAAGCTGTTACATCATAATCAACCATAGCTTCATTGCATTTTATTTGAAAATCTACTAGTCGCCGTTTCATTTCATATGAATTAGTTAAGTTTAGAACTTGAATGAGTGGCAGTGGAGCATCTTATCGATGCTAAGTATTATTTATTCAGCTCATATGCTGGGATATTCACTAAGTCAGTGGTGGGTTTTGTGAGATATCCTTCTTCACAGATTTTGAAATTATCAAACATTCTACTAGGATTGTTGCTTTTGAGCATTAGGTTAAGCTGTAAATTAGAGATGACTTCATTAGGTGGACTACACTGTCCACACCCCAGCATGATCAACTGCCTTTCTAATATAATCATATTTGTCCCTAAATACTTGAATTCTTTTTGTGTTTGATTGCTAAGGTACACTGAACTAAGAGATTTTCATCCGTTGTCATATCTACTGTGTTTAACATTACTTCCATACTAAGAATGACATCTGAGGTTTCGAGTTTTAGTCCCTTCTGCAACATCTTCATGTCATCCGAGCCTGGTGTTCATAGTGAAAGATAAATCACCTTCTTTTATTCTGAATTACGATGAACAAATAGCTAAATGTATTTGGGAATAAAAATTTTGTGCTTTTTATCCTTTATGAGTGTTTATCGTAACTTTATCTCAACAAAATATATCTAGGACTAGAATAAGCAGATATAGCAGAAATGAATAAATATTAGATCAGTATTACTACCGATTCGCCTTTAAATGCTGCAGGTGTCTTAGGGTTCTTTAACGAGCAGGCCTCCGAGCTTCGACTATTCTGTGTATCCTCACAAACCAATCACATGGTCTGAGGTCGGTACCCAGCCGATGCACTCTTACACCCCACTTAACCAACAGTTAATTTGGTAAAGACAGAATGACAGGCGTGAGGTTAGTACGCCTTCCGAAAACAGCATATGAGATACTGTGACTTCAGGCGTCAAGCATGAATCCCTATGATCCACTCAGAAACTGAAGGAATTAAAAAAATGCTCCCAAGCAGGCTTCCACATTGTTTCGCATTTCCTTTGTGCTAGTTAATATAAGAGCAACTAAATAAATAGATAAAATTTTCTTCAGTTGGTTTGTAAGGATTAGTTTTGTTTGTTCACGAACTGGATACGGACTGATATCAGTTAGAGAACCACTGAAAATCAGGGAGAGCTGTTTCATCCTAGTTTGAGAATCATCGGCAGTAGGTAAATCACGAATTGGTAGAAGTCAGAATTCATGGATTGGCCAATGAACCTGGTCCCAGTGGCCGAACGGCATACAAGCTTGCCTTCTACCTGGAAGGTCCTGGGTTCGAGCCCTGGCAGTTAGTGCGTACTGCCTATTATTCCCAAGCTAGAATGAAACAGCTGTCCATTAATCCCTAGTTTTCAATGGTTCTCTAACTGATATCAATCCGTGATCAATTCTTAAGAAATAGATAAGCGTTTTTCCCAAAGTCGACCCTTAGTCTGCTATAGAGAGCATAACTAAATAATTTGGTCTTTTTAGTTTGTGTTTAGTTTCTAGTACTTCAAGATTAGTTAGGCTGCTAAATAGACAGTTACTGGTGCACATCACTTACAGTAGAACTATTCATGCCAGAGTAACACATTCACCCTTTACAAGGGATTTATTCATTCACAAGACTACTAGCAACTTTGAAACATGTAACTTAGTGAAAAAAGAAGTCGTAGATCTCCGTAAATGCTCTACAATAATTCACGTGAAGAATATTCCGTTATTAGATTTCCGAATTATATTAAAATACATCCAGTGATTATTCACTTACAAGGCAATGGTTAGAAATAGTGTAGATTTTCTAACCGCTGGTAACTGGGATCCTATTTTTTTGTTGGAGAAAAAAACACTTTTGCCACCGAATAAAGCTCAAGATCTCAAATGCTGTCCAAAATAATTTATTTTTCACGTAGAAATTTGACTTTTTTCGATATAAATTTGTATAATTGAAAGTGGCACGCACAACACGCGTCTGCCTTAGCTAAATAAACTGCCAAATGTAATTAATGACGAAATGTCTTAACAGAGAAAGTCAGAATGGATAACGTAATTCAAACTGTAATGTCATCCCTTCAGTCAGTTAATGGTCAGTCTATAGAATCTGTTTATCGAAATGAGTTGTTGATTTTCTTTTTTTCATTTTTATTTTTTTATCATTTCAAGGAATGATGCAGTCATCAAGATGACGAACAGAGAATATTAAGCTTCTCGTTGAGTCAGATTATTTTCGCCACCATGAATGATACAATAATGAGTGTTTGACTACGTGTTTTATACCTTTTATGGATGAAAAACACCTTCTACTGGAACCCTTACTGAAATGTATCTTCCTGGAGCCAAACCAACCTCAATTGTACGTGTGCGTAGCATAAGTTGAAGGATAGGCTAAATAACTGTTGTTATCGTACCTGAAGTTTGTGAGTTGACGACAAGACGTAGGTTATGAAAATAACCAACCAACAACAACAACAGCAGCAACATCCACCACCAATCACCATCAACGGGAGGGATTTGAAAGAGGTTACTTCATTCACTTATCTAGGGAGCATTGTCTTAACTACAGCAGGAACGGACGACGATGTCAAATCCAGAATCGGGAAGGCGAGAAACACATTCATCAACCTGAAACCAATCTGGAAATCTTCGTCACTCAGCCTGTATCAACAACAAAGTGATTCGGATTTTCAATACAAACGTCAAGTCAGTCAGTTCTTCTATACGGATCAGAAACTTGGCGGGTCACAAAGAATATTTCCAACAGGCTGCAGGCAGACCTTTATCAACAACTGTCTTCACTCTATGCTGAAGATCAGATGGCCGGAAAGAATCACCAACAAGAAACTATGGGAACAAACAGAAAAAGAACCAATCGCCCGACAAATATGCAGGAGAAAGTGGAGATGGATCGGACACTCGCTGAAGCGGCCGCTGGGTTACATCGCGCGTCAGACCGTCAAGTGGAACCCGAAAGAGAAGCGGAGAGTGGGACGTCCAAGGTTGAGATGGAGGAGATTGTGTGAAGAGGAGTTGAAACGTGCAGTTGGAGCCCTATGTTCCACTAGGAACTCAAGGGAACAATAATAATAATAATAATAATCGTACCTGAAGTGATCGGTACCTGATTTAAAACTACTTTGCATTCAAACTGGTGTACTGATTACTAGTGAGTAGTATATGACAGATAACTGTCACAAGAACAACCATTTTAAAAAAAATGCTTTATTAATAAATTTCGAATACTTTGTTTTTTGTGTTTTGGTTTTGTTTGTGCTCAAAATCATACTCTCAATAAACACAATCAAGTGACCGAACATCATCATCATCATACTAAATAATAATCATCATCAATCACTCACTTGGAAACAAAATATGAAACGGAAGCAAGAATAAATAATAGTTAACTAATGAAAATAAAACTGCTGACACAGAGAGAGAGAGTTCTGTCCATCATCTCTTCTTGTCCAGCATTCCTCTCTAACCACATCATATTATCTCTGTAATTTAATTCACTACAATGTAAAACAAACGTACACAAACAAAATTACAGAACTCGGAAACCAGTTTCTTCGATAGGTGCGTGCATACATATGAGTTTTGAGTTCACAAAGAAGAAAACAAACAACAACACAGACAAAATAGTTTAACAACACACAAAAAATAAATTCTTAATATAAAACCAAAAAAGAGAAGAGGAATGAAGATACAATACAAGGAAGAAGAAAAAAAAGCAAAACTCCAAAACGTTTCACTTGTAGGATAATAGTACAGACATGAATACACATTGAATAAACAGTTGGAGGTTTTGTTACTTTTTTAGAGATGGATGCATGATAGCAATATTCAAAAAAATAGACCAGAAACAAAGGAATCTTTGGTTGACGAATTTAAGTAGAGGCTGTCGTTTTATTGCGCTAATTACTTCATTATACTCAGTGGGGTGTCTTTTCACTTTAGAATGATAAAACAGATTGTGTGTGCATGATTGTAGTAAATATGGCAATTATTTTTGATTATCACTGATGTAAACCAGTAAATGTCATTTTAAAAATAATTTACACAAAAGATTAATGGATATATAAACAAAGAAAAGATGGTGATTCAATTAAAAGATTATCATTGTCATCATAATCATTGTTATCAGATATTAAAAAACAATAATAAAATCCCATAAATGTGTCCACAATTGCTTTTTTCATCAAATGAATCCCTCGAGGAGTAGACCTATCTATCTTCTATCACCTGACAATAGTTTTGCTGTCTGCCTTAAGTCAGTTTAACCTACTAATCATCATACAATATAAAAAGGAGGTATATTTTTTGTATTGGGAGTTTCCATTTCTATTATTATTTATTTAATGAAAAAAGGTAACATAAGTACCATGATACCATGGTAGAGAAATACATGACAGAATCATATTAGAATAGAGCAAAGTAAACAGCGTATCATACATCCGACGCATGCATTTTCTTCATATATGTATAGACAGTATGATAAACGAATATACGATGCTTTAGAAAAATAAGATGCAATGAAATAGGTAAAAGCAACGTAAACAGCGGTCGAGCTGTCCATGAACATTACATAATAGAGAAATTATATAGTGTGATACACAGAGAAGATACAATCGGCAGTCAATGAAGTCAGCTGGTGGAAGTATTACAGATTAATTATTATTATTATTTGTTCTTGGGGATGTTGGTTTCGACGTTGAATTTATTTTAACTATTCTTACTGTGTTTGTTGTTGTTGTCGTTGTTGTTCCTGCAGTTGAACTGGTATCCGGTAGCCTGTTAACAACATTAGGTACTGGATAGCATAATGAATTCGATTCCGTGTCAGGAAAACTCCAATCAGAATCAGATTCATGTTCATTGGATTTTGATGGGACTGGAAGTGACACCTCACCACTTGTACAGACTGATCCGCTAGCTTGACTCACTGCTTCTTTACGTTTATTATTTTCATTATCGCCATCATCATCATCATCTTCGTCAAGTTCAACTCCAGGCAAAGAAACTCTATGGCCTAAAACAGCTTTCAAATTCAATCCATCAATTCCTTCTAGATCGACTAAACGACGTTTTTGCTTGAATTCATTTCTTCGAGATATTTCTTCAGGACTTAGCTGTTCTTCTGTATCATCTGATGCAATTGGAAGTTTCTGTTGAAGGAGAGAGAAAAAAGAGTGATTGAAATTTTTATTTAAGCAAAATCACTTGTTCTTTCAGTGCTAAATGAAAAATCCTGCTATGTAGCAGACAGTAGACTTCTGCTGCATTCATATTATGCATTCAACAGAAAATTAATTTGCTAGTAGAGACAAAGTAATAGACAACTTATTGAAAAACTCGTTGAGAATGAACAGAAATACGCTTGTAGTGTCAGAATACATCAAAGATATAGACCACTAGTGGGTAGCCAATCTTACAAACAAGATCGTACAGCTTAAGGGTCCCATATGGAACGCAATACGCATTCGGGATTCCAATTTTAGTCACCACTGACCCAAAACGATAACTTGACGGTGCCTGAATGCATTAAAAAGTTTGATAACTTCATAAGGATTTCAGAAAATTCTCGAAAATTCTCAGAAAAAGACGCCTAATAGGCTATGTGGACGAGAGTCCAAAGGAGATGAAGACAAAGTTTACATCAAAGATTTCAACTGTTGAAAAACAAGAAGATTGAAATGTATTCAATCTGAATACAGAGTACTAGAATAGTTGATTTTATTACCACAACTGTATCTGTATTCGCAATACATCAAAATGTCTCTGTCACGTTCATGACAGTAATAATAATAATAATTTGCTTTATTCCAAAACAGTACTTGTGATTCAGAATGGAATTCTCTGCATTTTTACTACAGTATTGCATCCAGTTAGTACATTATCAATAAATAAAATTCTACATAGATTAAGGAAATCTCAGTTTATTATTTTTGATATTTTTTGATATTTTTGATTTACAGCTTGATTCCACACCGTATTTTCAGTACAAGTGTGGAATTTTCAGCATGGATATCGGTTGCCCAAATTCAGGCATACCATAGATATCGGGTGTGCGCCGGCAGGGGCTCGAACCCCGGACCATGTGCATGGTCGGCGAGAGTCCTAACCACTGTGCCACCGACGCACAACAACATATTGGCATGTTGGTAGCAAAGCCAAAGTTGAACAGTGTTTGAAGGTGTTAGAAAAGTAGGTGCTATCATATTTACTGGCGTAAGCGGAAGAAAGAAACAAAGTAGCACATAACAGGAAAAAAAGAGAGAGAAAAAGAAAAGAAAGAAAGAAAATGTTGTACCTATTGATGATGTGAGTTGGAAAGACGAGATCCAGTTGTACTACTGACTATTTAATGAATTATAGGTGTCACGCTTAATGCTTTCTTTATCACACAGAACACGAGCTAAGTAGGGTATGGTTGAGTTTTTGTACTTGCTGGTGCGAGCATATAGTTTTCTATATAGGCTTCTAGTTTTAGCTGATGAGATGCAGTCAGAGATTTGTGAATGATGAGGGTGGTGTGAGTTAGATAAAATGGATTTGGCCCATTTTTCACATGAGTCCATGTGCTTGTCGGCCAGAATATTAACAAGCTGGTTAAGTGGCACATCGCTTACCTAGCCGACAACCTTCAACATCCTGCGTAAACTAAGGGGGAACAATAGAGAATAATAGGCTGAATGCGAGAGTTAACGAATTGTAGGAGTAAGGGTTGGGTTATACTAGAGTGTTTTAACCTCTTGATGTAGAAGGTAGGATGGAATATTTTCTTAGAAATCATCAAGATATGAGACGACCCGGAAAGATCAGCAGACAGAATGACGCCAAGATATTTAATTTCCGACTTGGTCTCTATTTCAGTGCCATCTATGTTGCACACCTCGTGAGCGCTGACCAGTTTGTTTAGGTCAGATTTATGCCTAAAGGTGAAATTGACTGTTTGGTATTTAGAGGGGTTTAAGGTAAGACCATTTTCCTTGGACCACTGGCTGATTTCTAACAGAAAACCATCTACTAAATTTTATTTTGCAACCGTAAGAACTTGAAGGGAATTTAATTGAATACCTGAATATTCTTCATTCACATTGATAGTTCTTTCATGACATTATTTAATCCAGGGTTTGCAATTTAAGCGGTTTAAGGATGTAAAATTTCCAATACCCTTTTTTCGAAAAGTTAATTATTCATGTCACAGTATATGAACTGCTTGATACTATAAATGTTAACCAAGAAAGCAAGCATAATTGCACTAAACCATATACTACTGATTAATTGAGATAAGTAGTAGTATGTAACTCATACCGTCTAGTAGTACTTTCAAATTGCTAACTAACTGTCAGACTGTGAATTTCTTTTATGGCGTCATCAGTTCGCCGTAGAAATTGGGTGGTTTGAACTGATTCGACTCTCAGAGCTGAGTTAAGGCAGGTACATCGCTGATAAGCCCAGATGCAAAATAAAACGAAATGGTCATCCGGTTTTCAGATCAACTTGATCTGACTAGCAAGTACTGCTGCCGATGACAGTAGTTTTGATTCTTGTGCAATTACTTAACTCATGCTGAAGCTCACCTCCTTAACTTAACTGACAGGATGAGGTGGTCAAATTCAAGCTGGTTACAGCCCACCGAATCATTTTAGCGACTATCAGTAGTAGGATATTTTTGTATCATTACACAAACTAACACATTTGCAAACTGATTATTAAGAAAAACAAACTTTCTCAGTACTAGTTATCATAAAATACTCTTCAGGTGAAATAGTTCAAAAAGCTGGTTTTCCGTTTTCAGCAAAATACCATTTATTTTATTATTTTGATAAAATCACGCAGTGTTATACAGTAATATTTACTGATGACCACGTTTCGAGCACAATTTATTGCTCATAATCATATCGTGTGAAGAAGAGTTGAAACATTATGGACTAACATGGATGCAAGTGAAAAGTACAGCAGAAGACAGAAGCAAGTGGAGGCGTGAAGTTGAAGCCCTATGTTCCACTAGGAACCCAAGGAAGCAATAATAATAATCATATCAATGTATTCCCTCATTTTCTTTGCTTTTTTTATATACATGAATAAAAACTGATGATTAGACATTTGAATAATATCCATATAAGACTTGCATAAAAAACAGAAAGGAAGATAAAGTACATTAGGAAATAATATTAGTGTCATCAGTAAAGTACAACAGCATGGAAAATAAAAAGAGTGTTGTCAGTCAATACGATAGGAAATAAGATGATTTTATAGTAAAATAAATAACTTGTTAGAATCTTATAACGTGAACTGAATACATTTTGAGATTATTTGTTATCCTCTGATTTAACTGGTTATAACATCTTACATATCTCTGTTATTTACGTTGAGTCATTTATATTGCATGTGATGGGTGTAGATTTGATGAGTCAGAATTCAATAATCAATCTCTCTCTCCATCCACCTATATCCCTTTTTAGAATTTCAACTGTCCCACCATACCTATTGTTTGGTTGTGTGTTAACGCATGCAGTGAGATTGCTCACCTTTTTTCCTAAATTACTAATCTCCGTTTGTTTAGTCATTCTAACCTTCTATAAATTCTTATGTTCTGATAATCTGACTACCTCCGGTCTACTGGTCTGATTGACCTATTTAGTCAACTTAACTCCCAGTCACTGAAAAGTATTTTGTAATTCATATTATTTTTTCTAGTTGAGTCTACCGGGTGCTTTAATCTACAGAGCTCGTCTCTGAGTGAGTCTGTAGTTTTAAATGCTACCCTAAATTCTGCTTTATTGAGAATCCTGCGTTGAGTCTCAGATGGCCTCTCCTTACATTGCAAAGCTGTAGATCCCTTATATTATATGAGTACTCTGATATGATTATGAGCAATAAATTGTGCTCTAAACGTCAATATCAGTAAATTTTACTGTATAACACTGTGTGATTTTATAGAAATAAAGTGTTATCCATTATGGAATTATGCTCTACCACAATACCCAAGTTTTATTCTTAAAACAAAATTTCTACAAATCTTTTATAAGAAATTTTACATGAAGTAAAATTTCTCGATAAAAGCAAATCTAGAAAGCTAGTTCAGTAAGATGTAATATAAATACTTAGTACTGAAATAATATAATTTATTTTGAAGAAGTTATTTTTTCCATGAAAACTGTGGATTTCTTTTACTAGACTGTCAAGATATGTACTTTATTCATTTTCAGACAGTGTCCAATCCCATAGACTACCTTGATGTTATGCGGTATATTAGTCAAACCATAAAGACAGTACTGAAGAAATCATCCCTATAGTCTAACATGTACCGAATAAGTTACCAATAGCAACCAAACAGCAAAAGTCTTAAGAGTTTGTTTGAAACAACCGGAACTTTGTATAGGTCCAGGCACTATTGCTATCCTTACGTGCTGTTTTAAAATTATTATACTTTTTAAAGCTGTATCACTTTAAAACTTTTTGTTACTACCATTTTGTCATAATATAGATGCCTTCTACCATTGCTTGTTAACTATCTCAATAAAATTCATCTCATTCCTCCACTTACACATTGATATGCACACATACATACAGATACCCATATCCCCCCACCCCATTTTCTCCCTCTGTTTTTGATATTAACATGCATTCACATTTAGTTTATAATCAAACTGAATACAATTCATCTTTTAACATCAGTCGAAATGATTCACTACTATGTGTTTCAGTGTCATTCATGATCATATAAGATTGATCGGGAAATAACTTCAGTTAGAGGTTGACTTTGATATTGGGTATTCAATTTAGGAACAAATTTTTACATATTATCATATCCACATATTTTAAGTTATAATCTGGTTAAAATTTTCTCACATTCAACCCTCTGATTTTTTGATCACATTGATTTAATTTAGTTTCAAGTCAATTTTGAGTCTCTGTTGACAAGTCGCCTCCCTGCGAGGATGCTTCGACAGTGTCTGAGGATAAACTTGAAGTAATTTGGTAGATGGTGACTAACAGTCGAAACTGAATTTTAAAAAAATAAATACTAACAAGAGGTTGCTCCCTTGACCCAAGTGGTCTAGTGAATAGCTCTTTGACGTTTGCAACAATGGGTACTGGCGTCCACACACAGTTGTAACACCACGACTCACTGCCGAATGCAGATACGTTCGATCGA